TTCAATAGAATAATCACTCTAAAAGAGAAGCTACTTAGGAGACAGAACATTCTAAGCGAGAGAAATATCCAGAACTCTTTCGAGATATAGGTATGTTAAGTTTCAAGGATGAAACTTTTTATTAGTGTGATTTTTCCACCGCTCACCATGGCAGTAATTCTTTTCACCGCCTCCTAATAGTATTAAAGGGGAGGAAAAGGAGAGGAATTAGGGTTAAAAAATAAAAGAAGAAGAAGAAGAAGAGGAAGGAGATAGTGAAAGGGAAAGGAAAAGAGAGGATTTCATCTAAAATTCAAGTTAACCCAAAGGTATAAACCCTTCCCTTTGTTGTTTTCTTGATTTCATGAGATTTATGTATTGATTTCTTAAGAAAAAAAGAGAGGGAAAAGAAAATACTAACCCTAGATCCGACGGGGGTCTTGCCGTCGGCCGCTCTTGGTCGCCGGTAATCCCCTGCCGCAGTCCTACCACTATGGCTAGAGAGGGATAGGGCGAAAGAAAGAGAGAGATATCTCTAATGTCCAACCGAGGAAAAAAAAGAAACGAACAGAGAAGAGAACGGAGGTTGAAGAAGAGATAGAGGAGAGAGAAAGGAGAAATATAGTTAAATAGCATATTTTCTTTGGGACCCCTGAAATATTTTTAGGTTGTATATAGGTCCAAAGATAAAAATGACTGGAAAATCTCTGTTAGGCCCTGTTATTTACTCAGTTTGCAAACAAGTCCAATCTAAAGAATAAAAGATAACTTTTAGACTGGATAAATTCCCTATAACCCTCTACCTTATCATAAATTATTAGGAAGTCCAGAAGCTAGTATATGCGAGTTATAAAATTTTGATAAATTGCTAAAGTTAGCAATAAGCTCATATGTATCTAGATTTTAATTATTATTGGTTATATTTGAATTTATTTAGCTTTAAATTATGAATTGATTTACCTATAATTGATATTAGTTTTATATATTCACATTATAGGTTCTAGGTGATATTCAGGAGAATAATAGTTTGAGAAAGTCGTAACCACTAGAGGTGAGTTCATTTCTCACTAGTATTTTTACAATATATAATTGTATGAGTACATAGTACTATGTTTGAATAATTTTGTGCTTGAAAAATAAATAGTCTATTATTTTTCGGTATATGAAAGTTAAATGTGATTTCATCTATTTCTGTTGTGGTCTATCCTATAATACGATGTTAGCCTCGTACAAGATATGAAAAGCAAATTTGATTTTATATAAAATATAAAAAGTGAATTTGGCTCTCATGCAGTTTCAAATAATTATGGGTAGTGCTTTATTTGAAAGTTTTTGATGAAGTATTTTGAACGTATTTCAACAGTTTAACAGATTTAAAGATTTTTTTGACTCGGTATCTAATAAAAATAAAGAAAAATGAAAAATCTGTAAACTGTTTAAACTGGGATAAGAAGTTTTACCTTGTCCACTTCATTCAAAAATATCTGTAAATTTTGATACGCAAAATATTACTCATTTGACAAGTGATTCTCTATGTTTTCAAACCCTCTAAAAGCCCACTATTGGGTAATTCTGCCTGCCATATGGTGAATGCACCTTATTTGGCCCCTCCGTATTGGCCTTCTGTATTAGCCCTTCTGAAATTTGTTCTGGCCCCTCTGTATTTGGCTAGTAACCTATGACAGTGATAGGTGCATTCGATTCCCGAGAATTATCTGTTATATGATGCGTTTTAGACATTCTGATGCTACTGGGCTATAATTTGTAACCTTAGTGTGACCAATGAGGTGACTTTCATATTCATGAATAACTCTTCGAGAATTAGGATTCTAACAATTGACTGTGAAATGAAGAAAATAATAATCCTCTTGCTTTGTGCAAATTAGTAGTTCTTTTTCTTTCTTAATGATTACCTTGATTCAAAAAAAGGTGTGATTCTATGAAATGTCTCAGTATATTCCGTTGGACATAAGAAAGAAAATATAATTGTTGCATTCTTTCTTGAAAATGACAATATTATGATATTTGGATCGTATTTTGCTATTTTTGAATATCTGATGCAAAGTTTATAATTTGTTATTCTGGGAATTATTATTATTATTATTTTGTTAGTTATCTAGAAACTCTAGTGAAAAATGTTCTCACTGAGCTCTAGCTCCCCCCGTCATTTTTAAAAAATTTAGATCTGGAGTAGCTTCATTCTAGCCGAACTTTTGGTTATGGCGTTTTGCTGAGAGGCGTTATATAAAAGCCTCTTTTTGATATTACATACAGTCAACATTGTGCTTTGTTTTGTAAAATGCTTATAACGGTGAGCTTCTGGGTTATAAGTACCGATTATATATGTATATAGTTGCTTTGAACTTCTATCATCAGCGGGTTTATGAATATTTTGAGATTAACTATGTGATATGAAGTACCAGACTTGACTCGTGCATAAGACTTGTCTCGTGCATAGGTCACTGTTGTCACGTACTCTGTATTTTATGAATTTCTGTTGCAGTTTCAGGGCGTGACACTATCCTTGGATTAATTTACATTAACATATCTATTGATTCAAGAATAAAGCTATCTTGGTACATTATTAAGATAATGGGTCAGAATTGTGGCGGCCTTCTCTTAGGAGTGAGGTATCCAAGACTCAAACTTGTGGCCTAGAGGCCAGAAAGAAGCAACTTTACCATTGCATCAAGTCTCGTCCTCAGAAATTGGTTGTGCGCTATTAGTTCAAGGGATCAAGACCATTTGATATCACGCACCTAATGCATCTATACACATATAACACTTATGGTGCAATCACTACTATTTATATATGACACATTCAATTGTAAAACATTAACAAGAAGAAGAAGAAGAAGAAAGAGGTCTAAGGCAAGGTGATCCCCTCTCCCCTTATTTGTTTATATTGGGAATGGAGTATCTTTCAAGGAGTCTGGATTTGTTAAAACATGACGGAAATTTCAAATTTCATCCAAAATGTGGTAATCTAAAGATCACTCACCTAATTTTGTTGATGATCTACTCTTATTTAGTAAAGGGGACCTCTACTTAGTGCAAAAGATTTATCAATCTGTCGGAAACTTTAGTGCAATTACAGGCCTTGGAGCAAACCATAGTAAGTGTTCTATTTTCTATGGGGAAGTTGATGCTTCTGTCAAGGCTTCCATTCACAATTACTTGGGTTTCTCAAAGGGAGTCATGCCAATCAAGTATCTTGGTGTTCCTCTTACATGCAAAAGGTTATCATATATGGACTGCAACCCTCTCTTCAATAAAATCACAAGTCAATTTCAAAACTAGTTGAAGCGCATGAATTTATCATATGCTGGAAGATTACAGATTATCAAAAATGTTATTCTAGGTGTTCAAATATACTTGATATCTAGTTATATCTTACCAGTTAAAGTCCTCCAGAAAATTGCTGAGCTATGCAAGAATTTCTTATATATGCAGGAATTTCATATGGGAAAAAGCATGGAGGTTTAGGGATCTTTTCAACTACCATCTGGAACACAGCTACTGCCTTGAGAACTCTTTGGTATATTCATACTAACAAAGAGTTATTGTAGATTAAATGAATTCATGGCACCTATTTAAAAAGCGGAAAAATGTTTAGCAAGTGAAAGTGAGAGCTGGAGACTCATGGATGTGGAAAAAATTGTTAAAAGTCAGAGAAAAAGCCTTGAATTTTTGTGGAGGAGTTGAAATTTTGAAACAACTAATCTACTCTTGTTACAAAAACTCTAATTTACAACTCTCTGCTCTATATTCTGCTCTATCCCCCGCAGCAATCAAGGTGTCATGGCATGACACAATTTGGGAGAGGATGAACTGTCCTAAGCATTCTTTAGTTTTTTGGTTAGTAGTCCAAGACAAGCTTCTTACCCAGGATAAATTGCTTAGGAGAGGGATTATTCATATCAACCATTGTTGCCTATGCTTTGGTGCAGGTATGGAGAGGCGCAATCACTTCTTCTTTGAATGCAACTTCTCTAAGGGTGTTTGGAATAGTGTTATGGATTGGCTTCAATATAATTGGAGAACTTGTGATTGGAATCTACTCTCGAATTGGTATAGTACCAGGTTGAGGGGGAAAGGCTTCAAACAAAGAGTTAAGATAATGGCATTGTCTACTACAATATATAGCATTTTGAGGGAGCGCAGTGCAAGAATTTTCAAGCAGAAAATCAGAAGCACAGACCAATTGATTACAGACATTAAAGTTGATATTATGACTATAATCCTCAACAGTCCTCTACCAGTCGAAAACAGTGAATGGCTACTCTCTTTGTAAATGTCTAGTTATGTGGTAGAAGGTTGTGTTGAATCCCTTTTGTTTTGTTTTGCTTTTAGTTATCTCAGTTACTGAGCATCTTGTTGTACGAAAACTTTACAAATTGGTGAATGAATAAAATTTTTCATTGAACAAAAAAAACCAACAAAGTCGACATCCAAAATTTTTGGAGTCAGCTATTACAGTAGAACAATATTGAGAACAAGAATAGGGCAAAAATTTGGAAACAACAGCTCGAGGTTGACTCATCCACATATTCCTGCTAGATAGTTGTATATACTTGTAAATAACCAAATCCTCAAGACAATATAAAAAATTACAAAATAGACCGTTTTTGCTAATTATTTAGCAAAATAGACCGTTTTGCTAAATAATTAGCAAAATAGACCTCTTTTTGGCCAACATGCCAAAAAGATGTCTATTTTGCAAAACAGCTCAGAAAACATACGGGACTAGTAGTCCCGTATGTTTTAATCACGGATTGGTGAAAGTTTCTACTCAGAAAACATACGGGACTACTAGTCCCGTATGTTTTCTGAGTCACTAATCCGTGATTAGTTGGCTCTAAACATACGGGACTAGTAGTCCCGTATGGTTTCTGAACCTTGTTTTTCAAAATCGACCTCTTTTTTTCAAAAGAGATCTATTTTGCTAATTATTTTTCAAAGTGGTCTATTTCGCTATATATTTCATAAAAATGGTCTATTTTGCAAATTTTCCCTATGATGTACTCATGAACACATACTAAAAAACTAAAGAAAAAAGACTGCTGATTTATACATGTGTCAAACAAAGAAAGATGTTTCCATCTAAAAAACCTGTTGAAACAATGTACTGAGCTTCACCCCCAATGCCTTTGCCTTTGGTTAACTCACAAACAAACACACAAATAAACAAACAAACGAAAGAGGACACTTGGTACAAAGAAAATCAAACAGCCCCCAGGAGGGGAAAAACCAGCAGCGTCAAAGAACTGCAAATATATGTGTGATCACATTCTGTGGTTGATGAGTCCACAAACAATCACTAGTCCCATAACCAGCAACTGATCATGATTAGGCTCCACAATTAGTGTTAACACATCTTCTCCAAGTACAACTCCAGAGCTTGTAAGCTTCCTCTTTACCTGCATACCACCAATCAAACTCTCATTGATGCTTAATTCATGCCATAATGACCCTTAAACTTTAATAAAAATTCCTGATACCTATTCAAAAGATTTCTACGTACCTCAGCAACTGGCTTTCCTTCTATGTCTATTATCTTGTATTCAGTCTTGCTTGCTGAACCCAGAATCTTATAGCAACTAACATTATTACTTCCATCCCTAAATGTAACTTTGGCTTCAAAATTCTGATCTCTCTTCAAAATCCAGCTCTTTTGAAGTCTAAACCACGGCTCGTGCTTTTCTGCTATTAATCCATCACATCTGTATCCTTGCCATTGTCCAAAAACTCTGGGTTTCTGTAAAACAAGCAAATAATATAAGATAACAATTTACTAACTTATATACAATATATTTCCTGTTATTATATGATACATTTCCTGTCATTTTACCTTTCTAAGTATTTTAGTTAGGGTCCTGCCGCTATGATCCATAAGGTACACCTCATTACTGCACCTCCAAGCATAATTATCGACACGATAGACAATCTGTCCATCCGAACCATAAATGGTGCATCCATTTCCATTCAAAACGAGCGATTTCATCCATATTGTAAGAATTTGTATTTTTGAAGAAGAGGATGAAGGAGAAGAGAGGTGTGCTCGAGGATAAACCTTAGCCATTAGAACTTAGAAACAAACAAGCTTGCATCATTAGGATAATCATCCGGCCAATTTATATGAAGCATCCAATGCCATACCTCTTTTGCTAACCGTATACTGAGATATATAATATTGGATTCAATCACACATGAAAATGACAGTACTAGTTGAAAAGAAGAAGATGCTTCTCTATAAAATAATTTTGGAGTTTTTTCCCCTAAAAGTTCACATTAAGAGCAATATATGTCATACTTTATTCCAACTGAGTATCACATGTGATTCTCTGAATAATATATCAAGAGAGGAAGCATCTATTCTACTCTTCGAAGTCTACATTTGAGTTTAAATAGAATGTGTATTGTGTCCTGTGCTATAGAGAAATCAATTATACAGTATGGCATGTACTAAATGAAAATCAATTGCAAGTGGCTTGTATTAAGTAAGAAAAGTGCTTTTTGCGTGTGTGACGAAAATAACCCAGTATGAGCCATTAGCATGTCATCTCATGGGTCCAACTGTTGGTGGAGTTTGGATTAATTAGTCAACTGATTTCTGTCTGTTAGTAACAAGTTGTTTTGGATATAGAACTAGATACGTATCACCAATACAAAAGAACATCTATTGAAATATTAAAAATGTATTTTACTTCTTCAACACTGGACATTGTCATAACATGTGAATCCAGAAATATAAAGTTACAAGCTCTCGCAAATTATATTCTACATTGTTCTATTTAAACGTAGAAATATAGTTGTACTCATGGCATGACATTCAGTCGAGTTAATCATCAGTTGGCTAAACAAAAAGAAAGCAAAAGAACAAAAAAAAGAACATCAGATACCGATCTATATATTATTAAAAGAAAAGCATGAAACAAGGAGCCCCACCAATAACCTGTACTTTGCATGTTTTATAATCAAAGCGCAGTGAAGGTAATATGTTTTAGAAGAATTATAGAAACTCTACCTTTAATATTTTCACATGGCAGAGACATATTCTCCTGTTTCTCCTACTCTGAATCATTGATTTCAATAGAAGAACCATATTAACACTGTTCACATCATCTTCTATTGTAAACAAACAATGTCCTAATAATCCAAGTAGATCATTGGTACTGAGAGCCAATTACTTTGTCAAGGAAATATTTGCACTCAGAAACCCTAAGAAATACTAGATTTAGATTCAAGACAGGGGTGTAGCTTTATAAATGATGCTTCAATTGAGTCAAGAACTTAAGGTTGAGCTACAGAAATTAAGTAGACAGACTGAAGTTTAATTCGAAGACAATGACCTTTTCAAGTTTATACTGAGGTCAGCTACCTATTTGAACTTATCAAGTCAAGTCCGATGGCTTATCTTCAACTACAATTCAAGGGTTCTTCTTCCTTTCGTTAACACGCACGCATGCAGATCACTCTTAATATAAATTATGTCAGCTAGTTCCTTGATCAATGGCATGACTAAAATGTGATATTTAATTTACAAGTAAGCAGGACAAGCCAAGTCTAGCATAATAATGATAGGTTGTTTGTTAACAAAGAGATACAAAAGGATAGGGAGACAACCCTTATGAAGCACTCTATTTGCTTTTAAAATTCCAATGCCTCCTCTCCAGTTCTTCTTCCCCTTCCGATCTTCTAGACTAGAGATTCCTAAAGTGTGGATAAATAGTTTGGATGAATAGAACTGGTGTAGTCTCAATTAACAATTCTCACGGAGAAATCAAGTCATCGTATCAATAATTAAAATCAACAAGTGCGGTACTGAAGCTCATATCTCATGGATAAGAAGTGCAGAACACTGACCGATATACTGACGAGGATAAGAGAGGTGGAGTTATCTTATTCCCAAGTCAGAAATATTAGCAGTATGGATCAACTGATATAAAATATATTCTTTGCTGCAGAATTTGAGTGCTCAGCCAATGGGAAGGCTATCGACACAACACTCTAACAATAGAAGAATCAAAGCCTTGGTTTCTTGCACAAAGGCTTGCCGTATTATAAATGGTAATTAACCTTATGGACACAGGGAATATACAAAAAAACATTTAGCATCTTCTAGACATCAAGATCCCTGCTTAACAACAATATTTCTACCATTTCAACGCCACTGATCATCCCATTCTAATCCTAATGCATCCCTTGGATCCAAGAAATTAAGTAGTTTTTCCGCTATTATAACATCTTGACCTGTCCCCAGTTTTCTTTGGAAAGGTAGTTAGGGCAGGTCAAATGGTTATGATCGATGTCGCTGAGATTAGATACAAATGGGAGTAAAAATACTCTAAGAGGTTTTGCCTTAAAAACCACTGATCGAAATTAATTTGTATGTTTTGAGAGGTAAACGGGAAGAATACCCACTGGAAATGTGGATCAACTTTTAACAGTGGGGCTTACGGTTTTGTGGCCTTATGTATAATGGCTCAAGAAATTCTCTTTTTTGATTGCTAAAGCCTCTCGTCAAGGTTATCCTGAAAATGAAACTTTAACAAACTGAAAACGAACTCTTTAGGATCCTTGTAGTTTAATGTTCCAATCATCGAATTTCATTCGTCAGTCCTATTGCAGACTTCTAACCTAAGCCTAAAGCAGCCAAAATGTACAGTGTCCTTCGCCTTCTTGAAGGAATTTCAACATCAGCAGCAGAATCAGGAAAAACAGGCGGCGGTCAACCGGTCCGGTCGACCGCATTCGTGCACAAGGGTTCCTGTGCGTCTGGAAGGAGGTCGGTCGACCGGCCCGGTCGACCGCAGATGTTTCGGTCGACCGGTGCGGACGACCGACGGCTCTCTGGATTTTTGGGGCTTCTGCTGGATGGTGATCGGTCGACCGGGCCGGTCGACCGGAATTGATCGCGGTCGACCGGGCCGGTCGACCGACGAAGCGGATATCAGTTTTTCAGGTTTTCGACCCGGTTCGTTTTGTAAGTTCTATATATACCTAAACCTGTTTGTTTAGGATATAGGTTGGACGAATTTGAGCAGCCAAAGAGAGAGAATCATTGCATCCAATTGTGAGAGAGCTTTGAGAGATCTAGAGCTTTGTTTTAGGGTTTGGTCTGAGAGATTTGTAACCCTATTTGTATTCTCTTGATTTCTAGTAGAAAGAACTCCCCCCTCCTTGCCCCGTGGACGTAGGCAACTTGCCGAACCACGTAAATTGTGTGTTCTTGCTGTGATTGTGGTTTGCATATTGTTTGTGGTTTTAGTTCGAGTTATTGTTCGTGTTGTCCTAGAAAGCTTCCGCCACGCACAACAATTGGTATCAGAGCTAGATCGACAACATGGGAGATGCAAGCACGTCAGGTTCGTCTCTAACAAAGGCGATACAGAGTCTGAGCATCAATAACACGAAGATTGATGTTCCGAAGTTCGATGGCAAGATCAATTTTGGATTGTGGAGGTGTCAGGTGATGGATGCTTTGGATGCACAGAATTTGGAGGAGACTCTTGAGTTAAAAGAGAAACCCGCTGAGTTGGAGGATAAGGTTTGGAGAAAGATGAACAGTAGAGCTTGTGGTGTTATTAGGTCATGCTTGACGCCGGATCTTATTTATGATGTTATGAACGAGACGTCGGCGAAGAAGATGTGGGAAACACTCAATGAGAAATATCTTACGAAGAGCATTGAGAATCGGCTTCACTTGAAGAAGAGATTTTACCAGTTCAAGATGAAGAGAGGGGTTTCCATCAGGGAGCATGTCAACAATTTCACTAAGCTACTTTCAGATATGGCCAATGTTGATATTATAGTTGAGGATGAAGACAAGGCGATGCTACTTCTGTGTTCGTTGCCCGAAGATGATTATGGTACGTTCGTTCTCACTATGATCAATGGAAGAACTACAGTTAGCTACAAGGAGGTGACCTCAGCTTTGGTGAACTATGAGTTGAGGAAGAGTGATGGTGAACCCTCCGAGAAGGCATCGGGAGATGCGTTAGCAGTTCGAGGCCGAGATCCAAACCGTCGTCAGTTCGAAGGATTCTTTATCGAACATATTCCACGACTACAGAATACCTATGCAGATGCGTTAGCAGCATTGGCCGTATCTCTGGCACAACCTCCCGAAACAGAGCAGTTTGTTACGGTAAGAACTCACCAACTCCTAGTGCCGCTTTACAATGAAGATACCAAGGAAGAAGAGGTTCAAGAGGTACACGCTACTCAAGTCGAGTTCGAACCACGAGATTGGCATTTCCCCATCATCGACTACGTCTTGCATGGAATCTCACCAGAAGATATAAAGGAAAGAGAGTCAATCCGGCGAAGAGCACCAAGATTCTACTACAATACGGAGAATCGAACGCTATACCGCAGGGGGTACGTCCTTAGGGAAGCGCACGAAGGAGAGTGTGGCGCACACCAACCTGGTCCTAAGCTTTATGACCGCATCAGAAGAATGGGGTATTTCTGGCCTTCCATGATGAGTGATGCAAATGCATATGCCCGAAAGTGTAATGCATGTCAAATACACGGGAATTATGTGCACCAACCTCCGGAGCATCTGCATCCTTCGGTTACGTCATGGCCGTTCGAGACTTGGGGAATGGACATTGTTGGCCCTATAAACCCCCCATCAGTCAAAGGCGACCGGTTCATCTTGGCAATTACCGATTACTTCTCCAAATGGGCCGAAGCAATTCCACTCAGAGAAGTTAAGACGAGCAACGTCATTGGATTCATCAAGCACCACATCATCTATAGGTATGGTGTTCCAAGACGAATCATACATGACAACGGTCCTCAGTTTGTCAGCAACGCCTTCATAAGGTTCTGCGACATCAAGCACCACATCATCTACAGGTATGGTGTTCCAAGACGAATCATACATGACAACGGTCCTCAGTTTGTCAGCAACGCCTTCATAAGGTTCTGCGAAAAGTTTAAAATTCAGGACATCTCGTCGACGGCTTATAATCCTACAGCGAATGGATTAGCTGAAGCCTTCAACAAGACTATCATCAAACTCTTGTCAAAGATCGTGAAAACTAACAAACGAGACTGGAATGACAAGCTTGG